GGGGGGGGGGTGGTTGACTTCTTTTTGCATCTGGCTGACATGTTTCTGATCCCTGTTTTGTTCATTTAATGTAAAATTTCTTAGATTTATTCCAAATGCAATAAATGTAACCCTTGCCCCTGGTTACTTTCTCATCCCTACTGTCCTTTTATTTCTTTTAGGAAGGTGCGGGGCAAGATGGTGGTGGAGCAGCAGGGCACCTGTGCCCTGAAGCCAGCGTGGCACCTCCCCCCGCAACAGCAGCTGCCACTGCAGCCTGCCAAGAAAGCCAAGCCACAGGTCAGCGACGGCTTCACCGTCAAGGCCATGATGAAGAACAGCGTGGTACGTTGCCTGCCTGCCTGACTGTGCGGTGCGCCCGGCAGGTTCTGCCTCCTGCCACCCTGCTCCCCACGGGGCCAGAGGTTGGGCAGTGGGAGAGTGATGGCAGCATTCACTGGGGCTTCCAAAGGGTCAGATGTGGCCCGTAGGCCAAGGTGTTTGAGCACTGCTGGTTTAGTTTCATGTGCCCATGAAAGACGTATTGAGAGAGTGTTGGGAACAGTACCTGCCACAGGGTTGTGTGGGATTGGCAGGTCTTTCTGTGGAGGTCAGCGGTCACTGATAGAGCCTCCAGGCCTTCGGAAAAGCCCATGTGAAGGAGGAGATGTCCCCTCCAGAGGGTTTGCTCCTGAGCTTCGTAATGCGTCAGGTCGGCGCCGTTGTGGCACGATGTTGTTTTGTGTCGGCCATTCACGTTGCGTCAGAGGGCCAGGGTATCCACAGGGCATGCACTCGATCGTACTGTGCAAAAGCATGGCGCAAAAATGTTTTCTTCTCAAGTTGCTGTTCAGCGCGATTATGACAAATGTCAAATCATATGGCAAAAATCTGTCTCTGGCACCCAGGTGACTCCCAAGGCCTGGGCAGGGCCAGTGGTGACCAGAGAGACAGGGGACAGGAGATGTACAATAGATCATGCTTCAGAGCCTCAGGTGAATAATGTTGTAATGGTACTAAGTGTGTATTTTTAGTTAACGTAGCTAACCCAATGTATTTTTAGCAAACCCCTAGGAAAAGGTGAGGGAAAGAAACAGTTGAACATCACTAAATAACCATGAAGATAATGAAAAATACACTTTTTAATAATAACTTCCAAAAATAACTCTCACAATACTAGTGAATAGTACATTGAAAAGGATGTAATTCTCCAGCTGATAGCTTTTAGGATGAAGATGACCCAGGGGTGGATCCAGTAATCTTTACTTTCATTAATAGTCCCTAGAGAAGCACTTCCACTGAAGATCCTGGGATGGCTGCCATCAGTAGAGAGTCCAGAATTGGGCCCTGTGTTTGTAATGAAGCTTTTTTGCAATAATTGTGTTAAATGATTGCTCCCATCAAATTTAATAAATAAAAATCAAAGCTTCTGCTAGTGCAGAATGCAGCTGCTCAGTTTGCAAGTGGAACGAGCTATTACAAATACACAACATCTGTGCTCAAATCTCTGGACTGGCTTTTTGTTTGCTTGTGGGTACAGTTCAAGGTGTATATAACAGTATTCTTTTTTTCTCTTTTTTAATTTATATTTGTTTTCCTGGGGAAAAGAAAAAGAAATGCTAGAGACTTCTCTCACAGGTCTCTGGAATTCACTATATACAGCAAATATTGACAATTAAGCATAAGCAAGTCTACTTTAAATATAAACAAAAATGTTCTGTTCTAGAAAATACCTGATAAGTAACATTTTCCCTTTCTAGAGGTCCCAAATAATCTTATAGCCAACAGTAATTAAAAGCAAAGCTTCTCCTAGCACTAACCTATTATCATATAGTACTAAGAACACAATGTATGTGATTTAATATTTACAGTCAAATCAGACAAATTCAGCTTTTGGGGGGAAAAAAGTGTTTTCCACAATTAGTTTTCATTTTTACATTTAACTCTAAAAAGATAATTGGCAACATTAATTAAAAAATACATTATTATATTTTGATCATAAATTACCATTCTGTAAAGCCTCACACAATGTGCTTCAACTGTTTAGAAGATGTCCTTTTGGCTTAAGCAGGTATTAGATTAGATCCAACAAAGCAACAGGAAAAGAAAGAAAGGTTTCAGCCATCTGTGGGTTTCCTTCATTCTGAAATACCAAGTCTTGAGTCCCCTTTTTGAAGGACTGGGGAGGCTTAATAACAGAATTTTAGACTATATAAGGAGTAAACACTTATCGGATGGCAATGTCCAAAAGCCCTCCTTTAGACTGCAGTCTTATTATGTAAAAATGTAGGCTTACACTCCTGCAAATATGAGCACTTAATTGTATGCATGTTAGTTTCACTAAGGTCATTCGTAGTGAATGTAAATGTATAAATCTTTTTAATGTACCAGAACAACACATTGAAAAAGTTGGAGGGATTTCACATCCTGCTTATCTCTGTTTCCTCAACTTTGGCAATTGTTAAACTTTCTACCACTGCTTTGATCTCACTTTTAAGGTTTTATTTTTTATAGTATACTTTATTACATGATTAGATTGTACTCTAACATATCTAAACCAATGATTATCAACCTTTTTTAGACCTAAGGCACCCCTTGTTAGGCCTTGGGACCCCTGTGAAAGTGATAGCTCTTAGCTTCTGCTCTTTTTTTTTTTTTTTTTTTTTTTTTTTACAATGGGAAAACAGTGGAGCAAGTCTTTTGTTACAAGGATCTCAGAAAGACCACAACGGGTCAGAGTGTTTTCAGTAGGTACTATGGATTCCTGTTTGAAATCGCTGGGCACCTATCCATGTACATTGAGGCTGCCCTGACACACTAATTACAGCACGTCATAATCCATAGTACCTGTGCTGGAATGGGGTAACTACCATGCTCCAGCAGAATCCAGTGTCATGTGCATCAGCATCCCTGTGTTGAAAAATGACAGTTGGGGGTGCTTTAACTAAAGCTCATTTGATAAGCTTTAGTTAAAGTGTCCCTGCTGCCATTTTTCAGCGTAGGGATGCTGATACACATGTTGCTCCTGATGCTTTAATTAGAGCAGCTGTAATTAAAGCACCCCCACCCCCCGCCTCCCAGAGCATGTGTATAAATGCCCACTGGGTCTATCTTGGGAATCATGTGCATACCTAACAGTGCTAATATTGCATGGCATCCTGCATCACCCTTAAAACAACCTGACAGCAGTCTGAGATTCACTGATGTTGAAGTGGCAGGGTGAACTTCCAGGGGTGGCCGTGAAGCCCCTGGATGCGGCCCTTACTTTCTGGGCAGTCACCCTTCAGTTGTCCGTCATGTCTTAATATCATATACTTTTATGAGAGAGGCTGCCTAGGACTTCCCAAATTGCTCTTTCAAATGACCACCAGAACTGCTTGCAGATGTTAAAAAAAAAGGTACTTTAAACATGCCATGCTCCCATGCTGAGCCTACCACATGCCCACAAGAGGCAGCACATCAGTTAGACCTAGCTTGCCTGACAACTGTAGAGATCGGGTGCTTTAGTGGGGCTTTAATTTAATAGCTAATTAAAAGCTTTAGCTAAAAGCGCCAAAAAGCCCTGCTGAAATGCCTGATCTATGCAGATGCTGCAGATCCAGTTTGAAGTAATGTGCTGCCTCTTCCGGTAAAGCTCTTTTTTTTTTTCTTTTTTAATGTCTGCAAGAAGCCCAGGTGCCTGTGGTCACTGCTGTATGGGCTAATTGCATGGCTCCATTCCTTCCCTGTACCATGCCCCATGCCTTACAGATGCATCCTGACTGATATCTTCTTCACTTATCCCTCTTCTGGAGTTCCTGGACCCTCATTCTTGCTCTGGGCTCCAGACCCCTCCCTGGGTCTCTAAGAACCTCCTCCTCCCCTTCGTTCCTCCCCAAACCTCCAGACTGCTTCTGTGCTCTCCAAGCTGACCTTCTGGAGCTGCAACCTGCCTGTGGAGGTGGCGTTTTCTCAACAGGCTCCAAATTTACTGCTGGATTCTCTCAGGGCCTGGGCTCATACCTGCTCTAAGCCCAGCCCTCCTCCTGAGTCAGATGACTCCCTGTATCAGGCTTCGTCTCACCTGGCTCCCTGGGTCAGCTGACCACCAATTAGCCCTGGTCTACACCTGCCAGCAGCTTCATAGACTACCTGACCTCTTGAAATGGCAGATACCCCATGTGCCCTGCCACAGTAGCCTGTTCCAAACAATCTCCCTATCCTGTTTTCCTACCAAAACCCCCCAAGCAAAGCTCCCAAAATGATCCTCCTTTAGCCTTCAGGAGGCATGTGGGTTGTAGACGCTAGGTAACATTTCTATTTAGTCTACATGCTGCATCTTTATCATCTAAAATCTGCTTCAGTTAATAACACATTTTGTTTCCCCCTATTATGATAACTTTGTTCCTTCTGTTAATCATTAGTAGCTCATAAGTCAAAGTTATTTCCCACTGCATTTCCCCAGAGTCTGAATACACTGAAATATATCCACTTCTTGTAAAGTCTTTTTAAAACAACTTTTTTTTATTAATAAAAGCAAAGTAAGTATATTTGACCTTGGTAGACAAAAAGGAGAGGGGTTTATCTTACCACTTTTTTAATTCTATAGATGTGCACAACAGACTATAACCACTCCAGTGAGTTTAAGGATTAATTTTTAAAAGCCTTTTCTCCTTTCCAGACAAATTAAATTCACATAGCTATTTGCATACATTTGTATATGCAGGGGTATATAAATGATGCTTAATTTAGTCCAGAAATTGAAGAGTTTTAGCAGGGCTTGAAAAATTTGTTCAATTTACAGCAAGTAGGAAGCATTGCCTGGTAGGCGTAAATAACTTAAGGTTTTAGCTGTCATGATACCAGAATATGAAGATATCTTCCAAATCTTAACAATTTAACAGAATGTTAAAACAATGTGGTACTGTCTTCCTTGTCTGCAGAAAGACAAAACCATTGCATTTACAACTACTCATTGCTTTGATCAGCAGAAGCCAACTGATACTAACAAGATTCTGATCAATTTTGCAGCTGCTATTCAGAACTCTGTGGGAAATTGTCAAGAAACTTGGCAGTTTTATATTGCTGCTGCTGTTGCTTAGGAGAGCTACGTATGACAGTAGAGGAAACCATAGGAATTTCTTTTCCTTGCAAGAGAGGCTCAGAAAAGAAGGCCAGACAGTGTTGGAGTGATAGTGAGATATTGTTCCTACATCTTTGCAGCAACTAGAAGCTTCTATATTTTTTCTGAGAAAATGGAACTTCAGATTTATTAGATGCATGTTGGGCACAGTAAATCAAATCATTAGACAAATCCCAGGAGTTAGAAGTTCACCTAGGTGAAAGTGGCACATCAGCCTTGTGGCTAAGCCAAGCTTAGTCAGCCACATTCTAGTGTGTGATGTGGCTCAATCACATCCAGTCACCTTTGCCTCAGTCTAAAATATTCTTTATCTATTTAAACCTGACATTTGACAGCAGCTGGAAATAAACTTTAGTTAAATTCAGAGCAAGTCTTGAACTCACATCCTTATAGGTAGAACCACTCCACTGCCACACCAGTCAGTGAAATAGCGTTGTGGTACAATTCCCTACATTTTCTACATTCCCCTGCAAATGAGTCTGGGAATCTCAGGTCATTTTTTCCAAGAACTGGTTTGTGAATATTTTTCGCCAAAATAAACAAAAACAAAACATAGCAAAAAAGCTGAGAGAAGCTCCCTATTTTATTGTATAACACAGTCAAAAGAGAAGGTGGGGGTGCCCATCTAATATGTAAAAGATTTGTGATTAAAGCAGCTTGTGATTAGACCAGGTTCAACATCAGGAATGAAGGCTGCCTCCTTCTCCATACAGCCTATTCTGTAGTCAAAAGATTAAGAAACTTTCCTGCAATGTAGGAGGTAAAGATTTGTGTCCTTCAGGCTGAGCAAGGTCATTTAACTTGGTTTTCTTGCTTCCTGGCAAGTGCTGTAGTAACTACTAATGTACTATCATATTTACTCAAATCTGAGACAAGTTTTTCTTTCTCATTCAACATGTAAGTTAGGGAGGGCAGAAAGAGTCCCTCATCTTAGATTCAGGTTCAAGGGTGGGGCGCAGCAGCTGCAGCTCCAGCTTCACCCAGGGCCAGTGATAGGGCTGAAGCTGCCACCACCCCAGCAGCTGTTGTGTGGCTGGGCTGAGGCAGGAGGTAGCACATGCTTCATGCTCCCTGGGCCAGGCTGGAGTGGGGCTCTAACAGGAGCTGGAGCTGCAAGGGGAAGATAAGTGGTGATGGATGGGGGTGAGGGACTAGGCAGTGGGAGCACTAAACAGGACAGGCAGGCAGCTGGGACAAGGCAGTGCAGGAGGCATGCAAGACCAGGGACAGGTGCCTGGGATGGAGGCGCTGTGAGGAGTAGCAGACATCAGGGAGCACAGGCATGGGAGGGAGGCGGGAGCAGGGCCAAGTGGCAGGGAATGCTAAGCAGAGGGAACAGACACGGTCGGGGCAGATAGGAGGGATGCAAGGGGGGGCAAGGCAGTAAGGGGTACAGGCACCACAGGGGCTGGCCTGGAGCATGTGCATACTGGGGGAAGCAGGTAGTTAGGGGTGAGGCAGGTGGTTGGGTCAGAAACGAAGTGTTGGGCAGTTATCTTAAATTCAGAGTATTTTTGGATTTGAGTAAAAAAGTATATGAAAGGTGAGTAGCACAGTCTTGTCCTGT